CCCCAAAACCCCAAAACCCCAAAACCCCAAAAGCAAAAATAATACTTAAGATAGAGGAAATAAATATATTATTATATTCTCGAAACTATAATATTTTAGACTTAATTGGATTTATTAATATAAATAATGAGTATATAAGCAGGGATTAAAATGATATGAAATCAGCACTTACAGTCACAGCTATTGTTGGATTATCCACATTAACTAATGCTTAAAGATACCCTGAAGAGGAGTTTTTCAGAATGCAAGATAAATCCAATGTTTCTCACTTACTTAGAAACAATAATGCTAAACACTAAGCCAAATTGCTATCTGATGCTGACGAGTTAAATGTAGAGTTTAAATTACCTCGTATTCCAAAGGAAGCAATATCAGAAGGATACGATGCTATTAAGGATATCTTCGATCTTGGAAAGATACTTTATGATGCTAACACTCAACAAGCTTAAGTATAACTAAATGTTGAATAGCAAAACTTAATAACAAGTTTTGATAGAGAAAGACTCCTCAAGATTGCGAATGGAGAAATAAGGCCCTAAGTTGAACAGGTAGAGTACAAATACTTGCCTCAAATGGAATAATATTTAAAGTATAAGGGTATCATACCAAGTGTGCAAAAATCAATGGAAATTTCAGATTCTGAAAAAGCATATTATGCAAATTAAAGATAAAGTGTTCAGGCTTCAATTTCGTCATAAAGTGACTTCATAAAATCATTCGATGACGATTAATGGTTAAAATAGATTAAAAAAAGAGTTATTATGCCTAGAGTTGAAGCAACTTAACTATCCTTACCAGAAAGAAATATGATTTTTGATTTAATGCCTACAAGTGAATTTGAACAGTACAAGAAAAATGTGATCGCTAACATAAATAAGTAAAAGGTTTAATCAACCATTCCAGAAGGAAACCTCCTATACTAATTTGACAAAGAAAGACTTAGAAAGATTGCAAATGGAGAAATTAGACCTGAAGTTCAAAATCCATCACCATATATGAACGAGAGATACACTGTAGATCAGACAGGATTTAAAAACATCATGAAACATCCAAAAGCATAAGGTGAGCAAAATTTAATGGTTTAACTCATGTCGCCTGAGACAGATGAACAGGTTGATGCTATGTTAAACAAGTGGCTTCTAAATTCAAAGAGAAATCAAAATAAAATCCAAAAACACAAAATTGCTCCTCATGTTGAATCATATAATAACTTCGATAGAGAGTAGCCAAGATACTCAAGAAGATAATGAAAAGCAAAAATCTGTCAAATTAATGACTATAACTTTTCACAATGAAATTTACACTTATACTAAATCTATAGAGGACAATTATCCGTACTTTAACTTTCAGTAACATTTTATTCACTACTTATCTTATCATATTAATCTTAAATTATAATCGATCCAATTCTAAAAATTTATCATTAATGGGGTTTTGGGGTTTTGGGGTTTTGGGG